CCTCCATGAAATGTGTCATGGAGGTTATATTTTTCAGTTGCGTTTATCTGTCTGTTGGTCAACAAGATAACTCAAGAACGCCTAGATGGATTGGTTTCATTCTTGGTGTGTTGGTAGGGTGTGACGAAAACTGGAAATGATTAGATTTTGGTCCCCCTAGTGGCTTCCCTTGGTACTGCAGCGCAACTTCCGGTTTTGATATCTCGCGATCTGGACATGCTAGGGTCATGAAATTTGGATGATAGGTAGCTCTCGTGCTTGGGAAGAAGTCACATGAGTTTGGGCCCCCTAGCGGCTTGTTCTGGAACTGCAGGATGGTCTCTTTAAAAATATTCGAGAGAGGATAACTGAACAACTGTTTGATGGATCGTTATGATTTTTGGTATGTGGGTAGCTGAAATGATAGCTTGACATGATTAAAATACAATTATGCAAATCAGGATCTAATTTTCATAATTAATGAGGAAATTCTATAAATCTGCTGTATTCCATATTAGGGCTATGAAACACTTTAGACATATGTAATTGAGAACAACAAGATCATTGCTAGATATTGATTATGTAAATGAAGACCTAATTTGCATAATTAATGGCAAATTGGTACAATTTTATGGTGGTAACTGCTGTGAATTTAATACTTGCCATACTTGGAAGTTCAATTAAGGCGAACATCACTAAACATAATTTATTCAAATCAGGACCTCATTTGCATAATTTATGAGGAAACGCTAGAATAGCCTTATTTCTTAAGATAACCCTGTCATTGGGCGGAGAATATGATCAAATTATATAATATATGCAAATGGGCTCTTATAATTTGCATATTGGCAGTAAAAAAATGTATAATTCGTCAGCTTGGATGGCAAACATGAGCTGTCCGTCTGTCCGTCTGTCTGTCTGTTGGTCAACAAGATAACTCAAGAACGCCTGGATGGATTGGTTTCATACTTGGTGTGTTGGTAGGGTGTGACGAAAACTAGAAATGATTAGATTTTGGTCCCCCTAGTGGCTTCCCTTGGTACTGCAGCGCAACTTCCGGTTTAGATATCTCGCGATCTGGACATGCTAGGGTCATGAAATTTTGATGGAAGGTAGCTCTCGTGCTTGGAAAGAAGTCATATGAGTTTGGGCCCCCTAGCGACTTGTTCTGGAACTGCAGGGCACTTTCTGGCGAAATGTTTAAAAGCCAATAAGTCCAGACAGGAACAACATATTTTCATTATTTTTGGTGTGTAGGTAGCTGAGAGAGAGATGTACATAATTAAATGCAAATTATGCAAATGAGGACTTCATTTGCATAATAAATGAGGAAATTCTATAATTACAGTGTTTTACATTATACTACTTACATACATGTAATGTATGTAACCTATGGCAGGCGGAACTTCAACAGATACTAATTATGCAAATGATGACCTAATTTGCATAATTAATGCGAAAATTCTATGATTTCGTAATGGTGAATGATGAGAATATCATACTTGGGACATCTGTAAGTTAATCAAACGTTAACATACATCACGATGCATATATCATGTTAATGCAGAGGTCATTTGCAAAATTAAAGACGAAATTTACATTTACATATCAAGATCATATTTCATGGAGGTATGAGATCTCGTAATTCTAGTTTTATATGTTGTTTACAACAACAATTGTTGCGCGCCGCAGGACTAGGGTTTTAAACAAAGAATTTATCGAGACCGGACACCCCTCTGTGCGAGGGGTTACCTTCGTGGACGAGACCGACAATACCTAATACACGCCAAAGGTCAACGGTCGCGACCACTTTTACGCTCAAAGGGGTGTTCTGGGGCCACCAAAAGGCACCATTTTCACGCCCGAAAACACATATACAATGAAAACTAAAGAACGTGCTTTATCTGCAGCCCAATAGCAAAACATATACCGAGTCTCAAAAGAATCCGTCCACCCAAACGCGAGAAACAGCTGCGAACATAAAAATCTAAATCTCTCACAAAACCCTTCCGCGGAAGGATGTCTCCTCCCCCGGAGGTAACAAGTTTGAACTCCAGGCGAAAGTTTTCTATATGTAGCGTGTGGATTATTTTGACAGGAGCCAATAGCATGTGAAGTATGAATGACAGATAACGTTGGTACGTGATGTCCATGAAGTACATGGAGCGTGAGATGAGACCGCCATAGTGTCTAATGTTTGTTATCTCTTTCAGCTGAACCACGTTGATGTTGAGGTATGCAATAGCAATGTATTTTCTGGTGTAATGATACTAAGGTTGTACATAACCTGGCTAACTGGGTCTGACTGCAGCTGAATGTGCAATGGTGTTAAATCATTACAGAAATGACACGTTTTAGTGTGCGACTTGACCTAGTAACACTGGGTGTTGCATTGCTGCGGAAGTCTCGTTGGTGACTGTTTACCGAATGTAATGACATAACCTCCTTGACAGTTGACAACCGGTGGCGTTTCCCTTTCACGACAAAGAACGACTTGTAGACACCATGGTGAATGAGAAGAGGACACAACCACCTTCACACAAGATCTAGATATTTCATGGAGGTCTGAGATCTCCGGATTCTTGTTGTTTCTGTGTTCCCAGGCGTTGAGTAGTTCCCGTGCTATCGATGACTGGGTAGTGCAGCCTGAGAAGTGGAAGGCTAAGAACGCTCTGGACTGTGAGCTGACTAAGGTATCCAGCCGGATAGTTCTAGTCCTTACAAACTGTGGTACTTCGAAAGGGGCAGGGTGGATCAAATACCTTCCAACATACATGCATGTTGCAAATGGGAAGACAAATTAAAGAATGTAATTTGACGCCAAAGATGAAATATCAGAATATAATTTGAAATTGAAACCAAAGACACGCCATAGCACGTCTTGTATAAGGGTTGCTAGCTTGTCACACATTTGTCTGTCATTCAAAACGTACATTCTACTTACAGACTATAAGCCACAAGCACACAATGTATTCTTGTTACACAAGTAAACTAGTCTATCAAAAAAACTATATACAAGAATGTTTTTCTTTATTGAACAATACAACAATACAAGGACTAGTACAATGTGGGCTGTACTCAAGTTTGAAGACATAAAGAAATAATATCTTTAAGCACAGTTTAAAGCACGTGTAAATGTTTACTAGAGTAACGAAAATGAACCTTTACTTATACTTTAAGGTGTCCGTGAAAATACAATTTCATGCAGTGAGAAATCACCGGAAAACACACACAAAAACCATTACAGATGAAGAAGTGAGTACTGACTGACTGTTTCTGTGCAGGTGGAGTTTGCCGAGGCCATGTCCCTCCGCCCGGACTCTCAGTTCGTGGTGCAAATGTTTGACCTCGTGGACAAGGACAAGAACGGCTACATCTCATTCCGGGAATTCTTGGACCTGGTCGTCATCTTCTCTAAGGGTATGACCTTCACGATTTACATTATGAAAACTTAAACTTTTCTCCAACTCAAAATTTGACTCACCAGAAATTTTCGACTGAATCACTCAGTCTTCCTCAGCTATCTGACCCAAATGCTGTGGACACGTGATTTTTCCCACGTGTGACGTCAGCAAAGGGTCAAAGGTTGAAGTCGATATCGCCCCCCGTCCCGGTTGAGCGATGGTTGAAGTGCCCTGATATATATGGCCTCTTTTATGCCTCTCTTGAAGTAATCCCACGGGACACACAGTGGATCTGGAGGGGGTCAGAATCTTGGATACCAAACAGGATTACTTCAAGAGAGGCATAAAAGACAGTATCAAATTGGCCAGGCAGTATCCATGAGCCACAGAAGGTCGCCAGCCACCGATGGTTTGGTGGGGATAGGGACCAAAAAAAACGACCATATATAAAACGATCATTCCCCCACAACCTCTGCTTGGAGAGTAGCCCATGCTCACTGTAAAGTGGTGTCTTGTCACAGATCGAGCCACTGGCTAAAGAATACTGAAATACATAGTTAAAACATAAACACGAGGGGTCTGTCCTTGGTGCTGAAATGATACCACGTGTTATTTATGGTTGTTAAAACGCCGTGGGCAACTGCATAGATAATCTTCGCCCTCATTTTGGCAAACTTGGGGTATTGCTACGGTTGGTTTAACGATTCAGCGAAGTAGATATATATAAAAGACATCCAATACCAGAAGAGGACATGTTTTAATGCAACCTTATTCAATTACCAGTCATCTTTATGTGAAACAAGTGCTTTTACAAAAAGCTGTCGTTTGCCGCCGTTGTATTTTTGCACAACAAAATCGTATGCAAACAATGTTTTTTTTTCTTTGAATAAAGTGATGATAAGGTCTTTGATTGAAATCTAGCTATGCTATACTACATACACATGTACATTGGGATTGTCACTATTGGCATGTAGATAGTTTAGGAAAAGATAACTAGAATTGATGCTCATTAGGAGCTAGTTGACATTCCTGAGTAAGAACAATGCAGCAGACAAACGTAAAAGAGCAAACATAATAGAGAAACATTGAACCTTCGCTATGACTTAATTCAAGCAACAACAACATCTAGCGACATGCGGCATGTCTGCAAGGCAATGGCATGTTCACCCATCGAAGGGTCCATCCATGGACGGAATGTTCCCTGTCGCTTCATTACGAAAAACCTAGCCCTATGTGTATTATTGATGACATTTGTATTTACCACAGGAACCATGGAGGACAAACTCCGCGTCATGTTCGACATGTACGACCTGGAAGGGAACGGTTATCTGAGCAGGGACGAACTGTCCAACATGCTGGGGTGAGTCAATGGTTAACTTTTGCAAAGTCCCTCTTTAACCCCCCTACGTTCCGAGATTGGTTACCCCCATCCCGCTCAGATATTCATGGCAGATGCCTGAAGGGGGCAAATCAACTCGACATCCCCTTGACGAAAACAAAGCGGTACAAAACGAGTCCAATTCCCCATTTCACTGATTTGTTAAATAAACAAGCAGGTTGAAATCTCCCAGTACCGGACCATTATAGTTTTTAAATCTATTTGCAGATACTTCTGATCTATATTTATAACTGTGTACAGCCAGTATTTGTTTATGTTTCTACCTAGTTTGTCAATGTCCTTTGTTTGTTTAGCCGACCTTATTGTTTAATCTGTTTTTAAATCCTAAGTACGTAATTCAGCGTTTTTATACGCTGCCGTGTACCTGGAGTGTTGTCAATAAACTACTATTATAACTTTTTTGAACATTTTCATTAATATGGCGCACACAAGAAAATATGTCTGAAATGATATTATACTATAGTCTGCAAAAAAGGTGTGGCAGATTACACGATTTATTTACTATACTGTGACAAATTAGTGGGTAAACATACGTTCTCTTTCTGACAATGTTCACGACATCTACTTTTTGGATCTTCTTTTTTTTCCTCTAAGATTAATTTCTAGCACAGCATTGTATTATAAGTAGACGTTTCGCTCCTGCTTAATGCATAAGATTTACCTTACTTTACCGTACAGCTCGTTGATGGAGCTGGTGAGTAACAACACCACGGGGCGGATAGAGGACCTGGTGGAGTCGATGTTCGCGGAGGCGGGGATGGACGGCGAGCAGGACATGAGCTTCGACAAGTTCGTGTCGATGATGCAGGACCACAAGGAGGAACTGAACCAGGCCCGGCTCAACATAGCGGGTAAGTACGGCTTGTTATGGTCTCGTTCAATAATTACTCCGCGTCAAAAAGCTCTAAAACACATCCCACATTGTCAGATTGCTAAACTCTTCGCTCCACCAGAATGTACTACGTGCAATATTGAAATTGATATTGACTTTTAATCGACCCAAATTTTAAGCAATTTCTGATTTTAAACCAGATCTAATACTATGTTATTTTACATCACCAATACTGTTATTTTGATGCGTTATGTGTGTATTTTAAAGTGTACTTGTGTGAGTTGTAATTCTGAACGTCTACTACTTGTATATCATTGTAATGTCCTTACATCAATTCAGCCACTCATGTGGCTGCAAACTGTGGCACAATTTCAGTCGACAAGTTGACAATAAATCACTTTATCATGTTTAGATGGATCGTAAATTCCCTTTAGTCGATGTCATCTGATATCAAAAGGATTTGAGATGAAAGCTTGTTTATTGCTGACATGATTAAGTTTGGTATCCAAGCGAATGTCAGACGTATACGCTTTCAATGAAGCTGTTTATTGCAAATTCATGCCCGAGGGCTAATTGCAAACAGACATTGACAAGAAAAATGTGGTGATATAAGACTATTTGCTAACATGAAGTTCTACGTGTACGATATACTTATCAAACCTACTATCTCAAAAAATAACGTTGGTATACATACAGGATAACAGTAGATATGCAATATATGAACAGGTAAGAGGAACAAGGTAACTGCTGTTCTAATCTATTCTATTCTATTAAACTATTCTTGCCATGCTATTAGGGGGTTTGACTTTTTCTCAGGAGGCAGTTGGAGATAACAGGTACTTTAGCACATGAGCATGAATGGTGCTGTATAGAGAAATGCATTGAGCAACAATGCAACATTTACCTGGATTAGCTTCAAACGATTTTGAAGTCCCATCCTGAGTACTCCTGCTATTTCACAAATTAATTCTAGGAAGTGACTGGACGACTCTTCGTCCCACCCGAACCAGCGCTCCGAAGGAGACCGGCAGACGGCGGAGTTCTTCGGTGCTTCCGAAGGGACCCTGGCGGCTGAGGAGGGCCAGTGCGCCCGTGGTGTCCAGCAGCGACGTCGTCTCTGCCGCTCGACGAAAGACGTCACCGAAGTTGGATCCCATCAATTCTGTACCTGATACAGACATGGCAGACGGTGACATCGTCATATCCAGGTGTGTCCCGTACTCACTCACACCACGTAGACAGAGTACACATGTATCAGTCTTCCACGTCCTTGTTCCCTTTCCTGTGTTGTTGTACCGCTTATAGATTACACTATCTTATATAGATTCGTCGATGAAGGTTAGACATCCAGGTAATACGATACGCCAAAAAGCAGTTACTCAAGCAACTGGATATGATTTTGGAAACGTCAGACGTTTCAGCTATAGTATCCACTAGCTCTCACCGTCACTGAAGAAGCCATTGGTAGTTGTAAATACAACAATGCAACGCATAATGTGTTCACTAATATACGAGATGGAAGTTTCCAGTTGTCTGCCTGGAGGAGGGTCTAACTATGTAGATGTGGCTTGTGACTGCAGTTGCCTGTGTGAGCAAGGTTCTCGTTCGACCAGGCTTGACTGTATATGTTGATAAGGACATTATCATGTCGAACACACTAATATTTTCTTCTCTTTAAAGTGATGCCGCGACAGTTCCCAACGGCAAGCGCAGGTCGACCGGCCGTTCGTCCTCAGACATCAAGGTAAACCTCCTGAGAGAGGCGTACCCCACCAGCGCTTACCAGAGGAAGATGCAGGCCTTTAAACGATGGGTGGAGAACAAGAGGCTACAGATCCTGTACCTCATCTTCTACTTCTTTATCACATTCGCCTTGTTCGCAGAGAGAGCATACCGTAAGCAGCCTGTTGCAAGATAACGTAAAACTACAGCCTTTGATCCTACTCAAAGAAATTCTCTCACGTGCACCAAGAGCTTTCGACCAGTCACTCTGGTCTTCCTTAATAGACAGTGAGACTTATCACGTGGCTTCTTTGAAGTGTGACGTCAACACAGATACATTTATCCCGGTGTGACGTCACACTTCAAAGAAGCCACGTGACAAGCTTCACTGGGTCAGTCTACTGAGGAAGACCACAGTGATTGGTCGAAAGCTGTAGGTTAGAGAATTTCTTTGTGTTGTACACATGTAACTACCAACACAGATGAACTTTCATGATAGTACAGTCTTTGACATTTTACTGGTGGTTGTAAAATAATAATTTTACAGCCACCAACATACGATCATCTCTGATTAGAAAGAGAGTGTGTATGCACGTGTGTGTGTGCGTAAATGTGTGTGTGTGTGTGTGTGCGCGCGCATGTGTGTGTGTACATGTGTATGTGTGTGTTTGTGTGTGTGTGCGTGTGTGTGTGTCTGTGCATTTGTGTCTGTGTGTATGTATGTATGTATGTGTGCGTGTGTTTGTGTGTGTGTGTCTGTCTGTCAACCTGTGCCTCAAATTCCCAATGTCCTTTGAAATCGTGAAAAATTGACTTGATGCCTAAGTTAGATCTTTCCCATTTCCAGATTACGCGGTTGAAGCCGAGGACTTCGGGATCCGTCAGCTGACCCAGTACGGCATCATCGCGAGCCGGGGCGCGGCCGCCTCCATGTCCTTCTCCTTCAGCCTGCTTCTCCTCACCATGTGCAGGAACAGTCTCACCAAACTACGCGAGACTTTCCTCAATAGGTGCGAGACTTCGGGATGTCTTCTTTGTGACCTAGACACCTAGACCGGGGCGACAGGACTATAACAGTATCAACCTAGACAATGGGGTCGTGTGGCGTAGCGGAAGAGTACTCGACTCGGAACCCAGATGTCCCGGGTTCGAGTCCTGACATGCCGCCGATTTTTTGCCCTTGGGAAAGGCACTTAACACGACTTTCCTCACTTAACTCAAGTAAAAATGAGTATTGTCCTGTTCCGTACTTGTCCTCTGCGTTGGTGACGGTATAAAATAAGTTGATATGTCACCATGTCTTGTCATGAAATGTTGGAATAATAAAAAAAAAACCTAGACAATAATTAAAGATCTGATGAAGCTCGACACTGATTGTATTACATGTAGCATATCTTCTCCCTAAGTCAGAAACATCAAGTGTAGGCAAGCTTGACTTAACCGACTCAATAGGCGATGCAGAGGTTACAAATGATACTCGGGAAATTCCCTACCACTCCTTATCTTTCAAAACTAGTTGTTATCAGATAGCTGGAATCAACTTGGTTATTAGTTTTTTTTAATTGCGTACCGACTAATGAAACTTTAAGAAAAATATATGGCCTTCTTTGGTCAATATTGACCATGGTGAAACCCTAAGCATTGCTACAAGTACCGTTAGTGTTAGTAACAGCACAAAGAATACTCTGTTGATTTTGTGACGCTGTTTTCGTGCATTTGACTCTTACCTGACCTCGTTTGTACAGGTACATCCCCTTTGACTACGCCGTGGACTTCCACAAGATCGTTGCCATCACAGCACTTGTATTCACAAGTAAGTAATCGGTTAATTACTTAATATTTGTCATGTCATCATCATCGACGTCCGTCGTCTCAGTAGGCATCAGTCATGTACCCTGGAATCCATCCCTACCAGCTATGTGCCGGTTCTAGGTTTCATTACGGGCGGAGGAGACTCCTAGAACCGGCACATAGCTCGTATGGATGGACTATTATTATATTTTCAAGTGTTAAAAAAAAGAGAGACAAGTGATAAACGCACGTTATGATATTGGATTATCTACAGCAGTAGGTACAATAACTTTAACACCTATATTAATGAATGAATCTTTATTGCATATTCCTGCTCAAATGGGCTAAATGCACATATTATCATATATTGTCTAGAGGATGTAAAACATGGAGTAGAGAACACTGAAATGCTACATTCTAACGCTTAACACTTAAGGTCTATGTATTAAAGCAACAATGTGTACTATTGTTCATCTTAATCACTGCTTCTTCTCTTCTTGAAACACGTTGAAACATAGCTATTCTAAATACTCAGAGAGTAGCATTAAATAACTAGAGTTCCCTGATCTCATACCTTCGCCAAATGCTGTTAATCTTTATGACTGACAAATTATAGATTATTCCCCCCTGATTTAACAAATAGAATCATGAATTATATCATTTTATCATATTGTAACGTACCATTTCCTCGCCCTGTCCCCCACCCCAAGGTTAGGGAATGATGAGAGGAGACGAGAGGTGTACTGTATATCTGTATGTATTCTTCAGAGAACATGAGGTACACTGAACTGGATATAACCGGTTCTAGCGGACTAGCCTACTCACCACCGGGGGTGGCGGGTTGTACCATTCTAACCCGGGGGTGTTCTACTTCTGCTACTTACACTCTTCCCCCCTTACGTGAAGAAAACTTCTCCTGAAGTGAACAGCTTATAATGTATACAGTTCAACATAACAAAATGCAAAGCTTAACTTGTACTAAAGCTGTCATCAAAACATCATCATACATCAAAACATCATCAAAAGTTAAACATCAGTATCATAGAAATATAACATCCTTATCGCATATATACTAAAACATATCGTCACTTTAAGCCTAACTTACACTAAAGCTTAACTTACACTAAAACTTACACTATAGCATGTCATCACAAAAACAAGTAAACCTACACTAAAACTTACACTAAAGCATGTCATCACAATAGCAAATAAACTTACCCTAAAACATGTCATCACAAGAACAAGTAACTTATCTAAAGTTTGACTTACACTAAAAGCTTACACTAAAGTTTAACAATATCACATAAACAACACATATCATCACATAAACATAATGAAGAGAATACAGTTCTATGTGTTGTACATTTGACAGATCTACATGAAATACAACGGTAGAATTTGACAGGGAAGAAACACAGATTTAAAAAAAAGAATCTGTGTAAGTTCTAGACGGTTCGTCTTCAACCTCTGTCAAAGTTAATTCCTGGCGAGGCAGGTTCTCCGCGTGAATAGATTGTCAATGTTTACCACAGTAGCAGTCTGATGGTAGACTAAACTGCTCAGTTCAGGTGTTGCACGCCTTCAGCAAAATCGTGGTCGGGACTCATGATCAGAACACGTTGTGTTTTAGCGCTGGTGGCTCCACCTCTCTGGCTGGATGACGGAGTGTCGGGGTTTCCGACTCGGCTGTCCACGGCCGAATTGAGGCTTGGGGGGAGGGGGGTCCGTAGACTACAGAACTTGCCAGTGGTTAAGCTGGGGGCTTGTGGGCCCGGGACTGAGTCACGAAACTGTCCTCCAGTCTCAAGGTGTCGTCCAGTCAGGTCTGGTGGTAGTGCGACCATCTGCTAAATGTCAGGACAGGGCGTCCTTCGGTGTGACCATTTCAGTCCCTTGTTGTTTTCCGTCCCATCGGGGAATTTTGCTGAGTTGGTTTTGTTGACACAAGTAGGCATCCTGGTTGGAGCTGAACTTCTTCTCCTTCTAGAGTCCGACAAATATAAACTCGACCTGCTCTGGTAGTTCACCGCCGGCTTGCACCCGCGAAACTTTGCACCCGCGGTGTGGTCGCATCATGGCGGGAGCACATGGCATCGTCGAAAAGTTGCAAAACAAATCTCATCTCAAAGTCTGGTTCGGGGGTGAGGGACAGGCTTACCGATCTCCTGGCCGGGTCCAGATGATCCCGAAGCTGCCACCAGTGTAACGTACCATTTCCTCGCCCTGTCCCCCACCCCAAGGTTAGGGAATGATGAGAGGAGACGAGAGGTGTACTGTATATCTGTATGTATTCTTCAGAGAACATGAGGTACACTGAACTGGATATAACCGGTTCTAGCGGACTAGCCTACTCACCACCGGGGGTGGCGGGTTGTACCATTCTAACCCGGGGGTGTTCTACTTCTGCTACTTACAATATTCTCAACCAAAAGACAGTCTTATATTAACAAACAATGGCATTCTAGCATTTCCTCATAAATTATGCAAATAAGGTCCTGATTTGAATACATTATGTTTAGTGATGTTCACCTTCACTTAACTTTCAAATACCACAAGTATGAAATTCTAGGCAGTTATCTTTACATAATTATAAAATTTTCTCATTAATTATGCAAATTAAGTCCTCATTTACATAATTAATATCTGTCTGTGTTTCTCTTATTCTCAATTACCAATGTCACAAGCTTCAATAGTCCAACCATGGAATGAAGCTGATTTATAGAATATCCCCATAAATTATGCAAATTACATCCATATTTGCGTAATTGTCAAATAATTATATCAAGCATCACATAAGCTACCTACATACCAAAAATCACGACGATCCGTCAACCGGTTCTTGAGTTACATTGAGTTGAATATTTTCAAACATATAGTCCTGTAGTTCCAGAGCAAGCCGCTAGGGGGCCCAAACTCACGTCAATTCTTCCCCAGCACAAGAGCTACCCACCATCCAAATTTCGTCACCCTAGCATGTCTAGATCATGAGATATTAAAACCGGAAGTGCAGCTGCAGTACCATAACAAGCCGCTAGGAGGTCCAAAATCTAATCATTTTGAGGTCTCATCAAGACCTACCCACCTACCAAGTATCAAGACAATCCACCAAGGCCTTCTAAAGTTATCGTGTTTACAGACACACACACACACACACACACACACATACACGAACGCCTCTGGAAACATAACCTTCTTGGCGAAGGTAATTATTCAATAGTCCAGTAAGCATTCAACCCAATGCCAATATGTCAAGTATCACATGTAGTGTCGACACACCTCCTCAAGTGTGTTTCCTACTTCCGAATATAATTTTCCTTGCACAGTTCTCCACACGCTTGGTCACCTGGTGAACGTGTACCACTTCGCCGTCCATCCGCTCAACCACCTGGTCTGTCTCTTCCCGTCTCTCAGGGGCTTCGACAACGGGTACGTACTGGTAAGCTACGGTCACAACCCGCCGTACGTGCTTCTGCGTGCTGTCTACGTGCAAAAACGTGGGCAAACGCAGGGCATCCGTGCGTGGTGAGTACCGCCTCCGTACGGAATCCTACGGATTTGGGAGCACGCAGACACGACGTAGAAGTGCATGTAAAATTTTTTCTGCGTGCGGTCTACTGATTCACCACCCGTGCGAGCGAGTACGGGCGACGCGCGTACCCCGTACGTACCGTACGAAAGACGCACGTGTGAGTACGGCCTCCTTACGGTAAAGTTGCAATCGCACAGAGATCGTAAGTTGTAAGCACGTACAACTCACTTACCACTTGCGCAACGTACGATGCACGCAACCGCTCACGGCCAAACGTGGCGTGCAGACCACACTCTTACACCTTGCGAAACCGTGCGAGTGACGTGCGAGTGACGTGCGTCGACGCCACTCCTTCCCCACGTTTTCAGAAAAATACGTAGCAGACGTAGCCTCCCAAAAACGTACGGAAAAAAAGCACGTACGGCGGGTTGTGACCGTAGCTTTATGAAATATCGGCGATGTTTTCAGAATTGTGTTGTAAGGTTCGCCTGTGTTGTCCATATCCATTATAGAATTTCAAGCAGAGGTGTAGCCTGGGTGCCAGACGCTGGCGTTCATAAGCGATAGATTTTTTGTGGGAAGAAGCCCTACTGTCCGCTACAGTATCCGCCGCCCAAACCCAGGCTGCCCAAAACCCTTTGGGCCAGCGGACGCGAAGAGATAATTAGAGCCACGGCGCCAAATCGGGGTTGGCGGGGCGCATGGCTTCCCTGGTCGAAAGGGTTTTCTCTCATTAGCCGTAGGGGCTGGCACCCAGGCTAGCAGAAGTGTAGTAAACTTTGTCACGTTGCTAATCATATCTAGATCTCAGAGGTTGTACCTATCTAACTTCTCTGTGTGCTTTTTCTTATTTCAGATCTGACCAACCACCGAAGTGGTACTGGTGGGCATTTCAAACAATGGCAGGTAAGCATCACCTGTTGTTTCTCCTGTACAGCAAGGAGACATTGCCTTCGATTTCATGACCACGGTTTCTTCTTGTGTCTCGAGTCTTGTAACTGACAAGTGCGCCTATATTACCTCCTTCAGTCAATATTGACCATGGTAAAATCTTTATCGATATCAGTCCTACAGCTTCGTCTAAGGCTGAACAGTCCTATACGAGAATAACAGTCTAAACCTGATAGGGCACATCTGTAACTGACTCAGGTCTAGTTCTTTTCTCCGGATACCCTTCCCTTCTGCACAGTGCATCAGTGTAGCTTTTCCTGATTCAATATTAGCTGCCTGGACAGTGTGAACCTCCGGCTGGGCCGGCAACTGGCAAGCTAAGGTCCTTCCAGTCCTCCTCAGATTCTTCAAGTCCCTCTTCCAGACATTTCAAACACACACATATATCTTGAAAGTTCATCTGTGTTGGTAGAAATCATTATGAAGCAAGTTTAAACTGCAATTTCCAACACAACAAATTGGACTCACCCAAATTTTGGACTGTACAACTCCAGCCTTTGTCAAGGAATGAGCAATCCACCGCTTTCGTGACGTCACGCAAATAACGCACGTGACTCCGTGAGCAGTGGATCATAGGTTGCAGAAAGTCTGTGCCGCCGCCCGTCTCTGTAGTGTTGAGTGATGGTTGTAATGCCCTGATGTATATGGCCTCTTTAATCCCTCGTGCAAAGAAGTCCAGTTCTGTGTCCAAGATTCGTACTTTGTCCAGTGAGTCTGAATGTCCAGGCGATTCTATGTGTATCGTATGTTGTGAGACGCACATATAGCTCAAACAAAGTAGAAGATGAAGTCCACTTTGTTATTGATTGTAGTTTATATAGTAATGAACGAAATGATCTTTTTAGATATATTACAAGTACGTTTCCATACTTTCAACACTTGTCTAATATTGCAAAAAATTATCCTTCTTATGCGCTTTGATCATCCTGTATTATACAAACCCATTTCAAATTATATTTTTAACATTACTAAGAAACGAGAAGAAGCCGAACCTCTGTATTAGAGTAGTTTTAGAGCTGTTTGTACTACAAACATGTATATTACCTATTTCATCTGTTCACCTGTATTTAGCCCGATAGGGCATGAATGTACAATAAAGGTTATTATTATTATGTATATATTGCCAGGTGTGACCGGTGTGCTGTTGCTCCTGGTGGTGTCCATCATCTACGTGTTCGCCACGGGGTACGCCCGGCGGCGGGCCTTCAGCGCCTTCTGGGCCACGCACCAGCTGTACATCGTCCTGTTCATCCTCACCGTCCTGCACGGCAGCGGCAGGCTCATCCAGGTACATACACCATTCACCAATTTCACACTTCCCATAATGCCTAGTAACGGTCACGGATATGACGTAAGACCACCCCCTCCCCCTTCCTCGATGTAATATTTCCAACAAGTTTTATCGACAAACTGGTCAAGTATAAAGCGCATGCCATAATTGTATTTTTGTTGGAATTAGAGAAAATGACATATCTTCTATCGTTCTACCTTCTACCGAAGACTCTCCTACTCGCACGGTCGCATTACGTATATTAGAACGATAGAAGGTACGTCATTTTCTCTAATTCCAATAAAAATGTAATTATGGCATGCGCTTTATACTAGAGAAATAATTCAAAACAATAGTTGACCAGTTTGTCTATAGAACTTGTCAGCTAGTGCTGCCATGAATGTTTTGAATATGTAAAAACAAGAGTTTATAATAATGCATGGTAGCAAGTGTGTATGATATGAGCAGCTTTTTATGAAATCACGTGGCCAAATGGCGTCACCAGGTTGGACATCGCTAATTGGGACTGAATCCAAAGGACCTAGAAAAAATATGAAACATTACTCTCCAAGCAGAGGTTAGGGTTTTGGGGGTATTTTTTGTGTGTTTTTAGGCTTTTTTATCGGGGTTTCTCTTTTGCACTGATTTTTTCCCCACGAAACCCAACGAAAATGTCACCTGCGTCATCGGCCAACATGGCAAATTTTTACAATGTCATCTGTTTTTATATATGTATACCTTCGGTATTGACTCAGTATTACATTATGTTCTGAAAAGGTTAACAATGTCTCTTTTTTTACCTTACACAAATAAATTAATAATAACGTATTTGTCTATCTCTTTCTTCTTCCTCCCTTTCCCCATCTTACACATAGAACCCCAACTTCCACTTGTATCTGGTTGGTCCGGCCATCATCTTTACCCTGGACAAGCTGGTGAGCATCAGTCACAGGCGGCAGCTGGTCGACATCGTCAAGACGGAACTCTTACCTTCAGGTGGTGTACTCCGCCATACTTCCAGTTGGTATCATCTCAATATGTGTTACATAATATATCACTCCATTGAGTATGGCGAGTCTACGAGTAGTCAGTCAGTCCTTTTACTATCATGAACGTTCATTTGTGTTTAAAGTTTTAAGTTCATTTGTGTTAAACTATTAATCTAACACAAGGTAAATTTTCTCACCTAGAGCTTTCGACCAGGTCTTCCTCAGTAGACTGACCCAGTGAGACTAGTCAGGTTGCTTGTTTTGTTTCGTAGTTAGCCGTCCAGGGTTGCTGTTACAAATTGGATGGCACCCAGGCTATATCGTAGGCTGGTAAATAAAGGTATGAAATGATGACGAAAATGTGTTTCAAATGATATCATACATATTCCTTCATCCAGAATATTTTTATCCGCCCTGAAATTTCATTGGGTGCCTTTAAAAGCTTGTTTTGTCTTTGTCGTAACTTAACTATTCCTTAACCACAGATGTGACCAACATCCAGTTCAAACGTCCAGACGACTTTGAGTACAAGTCCGGTCAGTGGGTGCGCATAGCCTGTCCGGAGCAGGGTCCGAACGAGTACCACCCCATGACGCTGACCTCCGCCCCGCATGAGAGCACCCTGAGTGTCCACGTGCGAGCGGTCGGGCCATGGACGGCACAGCTCCGTCGGACATACGACCCTGAAAACCTTTCTACTGGGACCCAGAAGGTAGGGAACATAAGAAAAGTTTCAGATAGCACTAGAAAGGGACGGGACATTTTTTTTTACTTAATACTCAAACGGATGCTGCATACACCAGGAGTCTTTTTACTTCCATGAAAAATTGAGGTATTATTTTTGGTGTGTTTGTGGGTGTCCGTGTGTGTCCGTGTGTGTCCGTGTGTGTGTGTGTGTGTTTCCGCATGACCCGTAGGCCAGGTTGTAATGGCTCTGGTTGGGTTGTCTGTCCAAGAGGCAGAAAATATCATCATTTGGGGGATGTTGTCATTAGTTTAGCCGCTCGATGTGGTAGTGTATAATGTTTCCTCTCGGTGTCAATCGCCTAGATTTTCCTGGACGGTCCGTTCGGAGAGGGTCACCAGGACTGGTACAAGTACAAGGTCGCCGTGCTGGTGGGCGGCGGGATCGGCATCACGCCATTCGCCTCCATTCTGAAAGACGTGGCCTACCTGTCCTCTACCGGAGCAAACATGAACTGCAAGAAGGTAGGCTAAGGAAAAACCGCCCATTTGTCATGAGTCAGTTAAAGTCAGGCTTGCCTAAGCTTAATGTTTATGACATAGAGAGAAGAGATGCTGCTTCAGTGAGTGTTTGTTTTGTGCCTAGAAGTGGTCCATGTGGCTAGGCACTGAGCAAAATCGATAACAAAGTCATGGGAGACATACGTGTGCTTTCGACTCTAAAGGACAGACAAATTTAATGCATTAATTGACTAGAAACACTTATCTATGAGACGAACGGATCTGCTTGGCCTTTATCTAAGCTATAGATTTGCATGAAGACCCAAGTTACTTCGATGACGGTTAGACATCTGCTGTGCAAAAAAATAAAGATAAAAACTATATAGAAAGGTAACATTTGCAAAGCAAAGACCTAATGTTTAACTTCACATGGTCTAGCCCAACAAACTACTTTTTATTCTTACTCATACACATTCATAGTAATTTATTTTGTGACCAGCCCCTCCAACCCTAGCTACATAATGTAACCCAACACCACAGGGTGTCTGCTTCAGCACCAGTTACCATGGTGGCAAACGTCTGGTCCAAGCCATTTACTTTATTTGTCTGGAGAAGAAGAAGAGGAAAAAGAAACTGAGCAATAACAATATGTTTCATGCGAAGGTAAACATTAACAATAAGCAAGGTAAACCTAACGTAAAGGTAAACAAAACAATAAACAATGTCACTGTCTCTGTTGCTAGGTGTACTTCCTGTGGGTGACGCGGACCCAGCGCCATTTTGAGTGGTTCATCGACATCATCCGTGAGGTGGAGGAACAGGACCGGCGCGGGCTGGTGGCCGTCCACATCTTCATCACACAGTTCTTCGAGAAGTTCGACGTACGGACAACCATGCTGGTAAGGGAACATGCTTCCAAACTTGTAGGCTGGCACTTGAAGAACACTATCTTTATCATTCACTTTACTGAAAGTAAACAATGTGGTACCCGGGGTGTTATGGAGGTACGAGGGTGGATCAAAAAGTTCTCGGCCTCACCTAGAAAATAAAGGGCAAACTCCTATTCTTTAGTATAACTGTATACTATGATGTCTTACATCACTGCACACAAAAATTCAAATTTCTATATTCATTAGTTAGCACGTGACGCCCCGTGAAAATGGGGCGGGTGAGGGCAAAATCACAAAATGGCCGCAACAGAAGCGTGTGCTGTGATCATGTATATCGATAAAAAGGGATTTCTCGTAAGGAAATCCATGAACACATGGTCAGGACACTTGGTGATGACTCTCCTTCTTATTCAACTATAAAGAAGTGGGTTGCTAGCTACAAGCGCTGCAAGGTGAGCACCAAAGATGAACATATGTCAGGATGCCACAAATCAGCACCATGGACAATCCAGTTGAGGCCATCCATCACATGGTAGTAAATGACAGATGTGAGACTGTCCAACATGTAGCAGAGTCTTTAGCCTGTGTTGTGGCTCTGTTCACAATGTTTTGTCAGACATCCTGGGGATGAGCAACCTGTCTGTAAGGTGGGTGCCTAGAATGTTTTCTGAACATCAGAAGTTAAACAAGCTGGACATTTCAAGGAACGAATTCAGTCCAATCCATGCAATTACCTCAAAACATTTTTCACCCAAGATGAGACATGGTTTCACCACTTTCACCCCAAATCAAATCAAAACAACAGAACAAACAATGAATGAAGAATGTTTCCCGGCCCCCAAGAAGTTTTATCGAGTTTCATCCGTTGACAGGGGTTTTGTCTCTGTTTTCTGGGACAGCAAGGGAGTAATCATGACTGAATACCTGTGAATAGGTTAAAACATCAATGGGGAGTACTATTTAACAGAATAGGAACAGTTGAGGACAACGATCAAAGAGATAAGGAGAGGAAAGCACCGAGCTGGCGTGATGACAATGCACCTGTCCACACGGCACAGGGGTCAGTGACAGCAGCAAACGAATTTGGCTTTGAGGTCTAACCCCACCCTTCCAATTCACCTGACCTAGCACCCTCGGACTTCTACCTATTTCCTAAACTGAAGTTCCACTTACGTGGTCAACGTTTTTATGGTAATGATGACGTCATCAGTGCGGGTGAGCCCTATCTGGGGGCTCCAGATTCAACCTTCTTCCACAAGGGGAAAACAAACCCGGAACATCACTGGACCAAGTGTATTGCAGTTAGAGGGGACTATGTTGAAACATAGTGTAAGAATTTTTTTTCTGCCACGACGTTTTCTAGGTGAGGCCGAGAACTTTTTGATCCACCCTCGTATATATTGTTTTGGTATACCTGTCTGTCCGTGTGTGTGTGTCTGTGTTTCCGCATGGCCTTTAGGTCAGGTTGTAATGGATACGGTTCTGTTCAATCTGTCTACAGTTGGTAGCGCTCGGTGTTTTTCGTTACTATAGTATGACCACCATGACAGTTGGCAGCTGGTGTTGTTTTCCTTACACGAACTATTTCAGGGAGATCTGAGGTCTTTGGATTCTTCTTCATGTACTTGTTTGACACGGTGCGACGTTTTGCCATACTTAACACGACTTTCCTCACTTTGCGCAGGTGAAAATGAGTATTGTATTGTCCCCTGTGTTGCTGGTGGCGTTAATGAATGAATGAATGAATGAATGAAGACCTTTATTGTACACACATACCCACCGGGTTAAGTACAGGTCACAAAAAAGGATGGAATATAGATAACGTTACATATATACATCGTCAAGTAGCTACAATCAAAATATAAGTTGAAAAAGCTTGAGTGTGCCGTCACCACGTCTTGTGATTAGATGTTGCAATATTTAAAAAAATTCAAACCCATTATGAATTATATCAATCACTGTTGATAGAATTTCCGGTACTTCATTTTCTGTCTGAAACGAGCTTATTTCTCACCCGACAGTACATCTACGAGCGTCACTTCCAGCGGCTGTCAGGGCGCAGTCTGTTCACCGGCCTGCGGGCCACCACGCACTTCGGCCGGCCCGAGTTCGTCAGTCTGCTAGACTCCATACAGCACCAGAACCCGGAGGTACGATAGTTCTATGCCGGGTTTCCTCACTTATCTTGCTACTCTTCTAGCGGGGGTTAGGCTTCTGCTTCATTTCGGCGTATTATGTTTACCGAAGGAAAACATATTGTTTTTACTCAGTTTCTTTCTCCTCTTCTGTTCCAAACACTAACGTCTGACCTGACCAATGACATGATTTGTTGACGTCTATCACCATGGTGACCGGTGTTGAGTAACATAATGTTGCAATTTCATGGTCTGCTCTACTCCTGTCACCATATACTAGTAGTACATTGTATGTGAATGTGTTTGAGTAAGAATTAACAGGGCAGACCATGTCCGAAGGTAAACATTATGCATTTGCTTTACAAATGTTACTTCTCTAGTTTCTAGGCGTTTTTATATGTTTTCTTTGCTGTACTTTCATTTTTTTTTGGACTGGTACCTTTTTTTTAACTGTTTGGGAAATGTATACTGTCTGGCCAATTTGATACTGGCTTTGCTGTCTCCGAAAGGACTAGCTGCGATTAGACTGTGGTATCGTAGACTGTTCCAGACACGATAGCCTATGGATCTTCTGAAGCTATTTCTTAAGATCTCTCGCTGCTGGTAACCGCCTTTCCCGCACACGTAAAATAAAATCTTTTCCTATCTTCCCACAGGTTAAAAAGATCGGAGTTTTCAGCTGCGGTCCTCCCGGCATGACCAGGAATGTCGAAGATGCATGCGCACAACTGAACAAGAAAGACATGGCGCACTATGTCTCCTACTACGAGAATTTCTGATCTACTTTTCACCGCCCGAGAGCTGGAAATTGTTTCCATTGTTTGCTAACGTACATGCAGTACTCGTATGTGTGTTGCTAGTTTCTACATGTTTGTACTAGGGGAAAATGTTGGGACAATCACGTAACGCTGTATTTTCTTACTTTAATCCATTGTCACACACTTATAACTTTGGCCTCCCGAACGCTAGCTACAGCCGAACGCCCCCAACCATACATGGTTGGTCGGTCTGGGCAAAGTCGGCTGCTGGGTCGTCTGGCCATTACGGCTGTTATTCGGCTGCCGAATGTTTCAAAATGTTTAAAAATCGGGGTTTTTCTTCTTTTTGTCTTTTCTTCACCAAAAAATAGGAAAAGGTCAAAATGTATGATTTTTGTACGTAATGTGGACTCAGAGGTTCACACATCAATGTGCAAAACAATTGAGCTGGTAGCATGTTGATAATTTCTAAAAATTAGCAAAAAACGCGCGGACCCCAAGTGTACAGATTAATCAGTCCGGGAAGGTGTACTGTTGAGGGTTAAAACATTCGGGGGTTGGTCGGGAGGTTCTACCATGGTTTTTTTTTTTAATTCATCAAAACATAAAGACATAACAAGGACAGTGTGACGCTGCACTCAAGTTAACAACTTATATTAACAGCGCCACACACAAAAAAGGTACAATTAACGTTTAAATATACAAAGTTGACATGTGCGCCGTAGTCCCACCACCCCAAGACATTAAAATATTAAATTAAATGCTAACAGAGCTATTTTTCTACCATGGTTGGTTGGTATTCGGCTGTAAGTCAGCAAAATTCCAGCCAATCAGCAGTGTTCGGAGGCCAAATTTGACTCAAATTTGACTCAAATTAGTTTCCAATCATATTATAAGGTGGGCGTGGCCAGATTGCCCCAAACATACTCGGGGGAAGGTCGTGAATGTGTGACAGGGGAAACATGGAGGTTACAGAGAACCTCTCTGACTGTATAATTACTTCATTAGCTCGTGTGTCTTGTGGATTTTTTAAACAATTTTTGTGCTTACAAATGTTTAGGATAACAGAGGTTTCTGACGTTTCGTAGTGTCATTTGGTAAGAAACAGTGCTAAGATATGTGGTAAATTTTATTATAAAGTACAAAAAAATTCTAAAAACAATCTGTGGCAGACATTTGTAAATTCACGTTAGTGTAATAGATAGAGGTTACGAGGAAAAGATATAATCTGGAATACCTGAACCAATTTATTGTTTCTAAATTCTAATTCCATTTTTTTTAATAACATGGCAGGAGCAGATGTCAATGTTTAACTTCAGCGTTAACTTGTTTGTTTAAAGGTCTTTATTTAGCCAATAATAATTGGTCATTAATGTCTACATTGTACATATTGTAACCACAATGTAACATGGTGATGTATTTGTGTGACAAGTTATTAACAGATTAATTTCATGTGTGACAGCAGTGAAAATTGCAAAAAGAAGGTCATCAGTTCTGTGTGCAGTGAATTCCAAGGCTGTCCGGGACAAAGCATTTCAAGGTTTTGAACTTAAAAGTGGCATTTGTAACATTTTGCATAAAAACTGAGACATTTTATTTCAAGAAATATTTGTGTGATTGTAATTTACTTCCACTTTTCAACACATTTGTGCGATTATCTCTCATTTCTGATATATATATGGTTGGTACTAAAACAGCTCACATGAGATGCCCTCATTTTGTGTAATCTCCAAGCAGATCTTTCGAAGGCTGGCTAATGGACAATGGAATGATAAGTGGAGGCAACTACAGTATACATGATACCGTATATAATAACCATTTTTTAACGTTGTCGTGTCTACTAAGCTTTTCTTGTACTGATTAAAACAACTGACAATCGTTTCAAAGTGTCACAGCTGGGTGAGAATATGATGTGCAGTGCTCTAACCGTGGGTTGCCATCATCATCATTTAGCATACCGATTTCAGGAGTGATATAGAGTGAACATCATTTGTAGTTCCTGTGCGTAATAGCTATGCGCCTTTCTGTGATCACCAAGGCTCTTCCAAGCGTTTCGCAAGTTGCCAAGAGACGTGACAATGGCCGGATGGGCGGTATTCTCTCCATAAATTCTCCGCTTCATCTGCAGTGACTGTTCATGATAGCTGACGGCCATTTTGTGATCACCGAGGGCCATGCAAGCGTTACCTAGGTTGTTCAGTACTTTTGCGATATGATGATGGTCAGCGTTCTTACCGAAGACACTTCGCCACGCCTGTAGTGCATCGTCGTAGTATGCAAGGGCCTTTCTATGGTCACCAACGTTACTTAAAGAGATTCCTAAGTTGTTGAGTAACGTAGCAATATCATCACGATCGGCATTTTCGTCACCGAACATGCTTCGAGTCATTTGCAGAGATCGTTCAAAGTAGTTGATAGCCTTTTTGTGATCGCCACAGTCCCTCCAGGCATTGCCTAAATTGTTTAGTGACGCGACAATATCAGGATGAAAAGTGCCTTCACCAATAATCGTTGATTTCATCTGTAGAGCCATTTCGTGATAGCAGATGGCCTTTCTTTGATCACCCAAGTTATTCCAGGCGTTACCCAAGCCATTGAGTGACGCGGCGATGTCAGGATGTGCGGTATCCTTACCGGATATTCTGATCATCATCTCAAGTGCCTGTTCATGATAGCTGGCGGCCTTTCTGTGATCACCAAGGTTCGCCCAGATTCCACCTATATGGTTGAGCGCCGCAGCGATATCGGGATGTGCAGTGTCTTCACCATACATACTCTGCCACATCTGCAGTGACTGTTTGTAATAGTCGGCTGCCATTACGTGATCGCCGAGGTTGTGAAAGGTACCTCCCAAGTTGTTAAGTGAGTGAGCAACTTTGGGATGTGGAGTGTTCTCACCATAGATAGTTCGCCGCATCTGCAGTGATCGCTCGTGATAGTTGGCCGCTTTTCTGTAATCACCAAGTTGGTTGAAGACGCACCCCAAATTGTTCAAAGACATGGCAATGTCAGGATGCGCGGTGTTCTCACCATAGATACCCCGCATCATCTGTAGTGACTGTTCATTATAGCTGAGGGCCTTTCTGTGATCACCAAGGTTTGTCCATGATTCACCCAAGTTGTTAAGCACATTGATGGCAATGTCGGGAAGAGCATTGCCCTCACCAACGATGGCCCGCCACATCTTAAGTGAGTGTTCGTAGTACGTAACAGCCTGTCTGTGATCACCAAGGTCCCTGCAGGCCGTACCCAAGTAGTTGAAACACGCGGCAAAGTACGGGTTAGCGCCGTCCTTACCATAGACATCCAACATCATCTCCAGTGACTGTTCATAATAGATGGTGGCCTTTCTTGGATCACCGATGTCACTCCAGGCGGTACCTAAGTCAATAAGTGCCATAGCAATGTCGGCGTGTGCAGTCTCTTTGCCATGGATATTCCTTCTCATCTCCAGCGCCTGTTCAAAATAGGCTACGGCCTTTCTGTGGTCACCGATTTGTGCAAAAGCAATACCCGAGCTTTCAAGTGCCTCGGCGATGTCAGGGTGTGTGGCATTCTCTCCATATTTAGATAGGCAATTCTGTAGGGCCTGCTCCGTGTATGTCTTTGCATTTTGGTAGTCACACAGACTTGCGTACACCTCTGATTTCAGCTTTGACGAATTATCAAAAAGAATGGACGGTTCCATTGGTGATTCTCCTGCGTTAATTTCTGAAATGAAGGATCGCAATGGCATCGCTGTGTAGTAGTATCTCATCAGCTGGTTTGAATTGGAGAAGTAGAACACATTCCTCAATTTCTCCCCTATTTCTGTGCCTGACGACATTGACGATAAGGCCGACATGTTCTCCACCTGTCCACGGTTGTTCATGTATGTCCGCAGCCTCAGTTCTGCTGAGATGCTGACCAGCACCATCAAGTGATGCGCGTTCTCACTGTTGATGACTCCGTTCTTGTGCATGTTCTCTATGGTGTCCCAGATTGTGGTTGGCTGTATGCCATGAAGTAGTGCCCAACAGGACACTGTTATGCTTGAAAATCGATAGATTTCCTTCTTGACATTCAACAGGCTGGCTTTTAGAACATGCCTTTTGAACGTAGGCGCATTTTCCGTCAGTATTGTGTTTGCTATTAGCGATGAAATGATCCCCTGGTTTTCTTGCAGTCGCTTAGCCCACATAGTGGTGTATTGAGCCGCCAATTGCCATTCTCCAGCGATCAAAGAAACATTGCCAAGGACACTTGCGAGGTGGTAGCCTTTCTTCAGATGCAACGTTATGTTTTCCTCTAATAGTTTTGTCATGTTTCTCGGTGTGCGGATGAGTTCAAAGGTTTTGCCCCTGCCCAGTGGAGTTTTGCATGCATGCGGCATGGCTCCATCAAACGAAAACCCGTGCGGCGTTACAGAGTCGTAGAACCAGCTGTCCTGTGGGTCTTTTGACTGAAAATCATTGAGCGACTTGATCGCCATGGCCGGGAGGATGGTTTCTCCCAGGTTGATCACTTTGAGATGTAGATAGTGAGTCAGGTTGCGGAAATACTCGACGTTACTCTCTGTTTCCTCCTCTATCAGGATGGCGAACTCCAGATCAGAGTACGGGGTTACTAACCCTGTGGCCTGTGAACCCAGGCCTATCATGGCGTAGTTACAGGGAGGGGGGGCCATTACCTCTATACATTCATCTACAAGGCCAACTATGAACGTTCTGCGATGACCAACGAGTGTCTCAAACAGTTTTTTGATTGCTTCTGCTCTGTTCGTCTCAACTTCCCTTATCTTGGGATCATCATCATCGAGACTGTACGGATCTACCTCTTCTTCAATTCTTTTCAACTCTTCCTCTACAAACTCTCGACTTTCCTTCTGCCTCAATCTGTGTTTCTCTACTTCAGCGTTATCAACACTTTCGTCGACATTCAGCACATGCTTGATAAATGCGTTCGTTATATCTAGGACTCTTTGTTTGATACCTTTCCCGTCTTCTTTCCTTGCTCTGACCAGTGCTGCGTTACAGAGTGCTGCAGCCTTGGTGAAGTCTCCTCCGTCTTTTGACTGGATTCCTCTCTTCAGGTAGACATCGCTCAGCTTGTACAGGGGCTCTGCCTCTTTTCTGTGCTGGTCTGTATTTGAATCTGTTGCAAACAAAAGTTCCAGGTCATAAATTGTAATCCTGTCCTTATTTCTACACATATAGTACATTGTCACGGTGCATTAAAGCTTTCCACTATGAAGTCTGACCGACTCACCTTTCAAATGAACGGTCCTGAGCGCAGCTGCAAAGTGCCGTTCTGCCGTGTCCAGGTCTCCAGTCTGCAGGGCCTTGCAGCCCTCCTGCAGCTGGTCTGTGTAGGCACTGAAAGTAAACATGGCATGTATGTCAAACTATGAGTGGATATACATGTCTAAATCTTCCTCATTTTTACATCCTAAATGTTTAGTGTACTCAACGTATAGTATTTCGATCGCCTCAAATGGGATTTGATGTGTTTACAACATTAAAATACAGTCATAGATATTATATGAGACTTTTTAATATTGGGTTTGTCAATATCACAACCTATAAACCCTATTTAACACTTTAAAGTGATCACAGACCTGTAAGGGTCTTCCTTTGTTCCATGGGTTCTTCCATGTGAAGTCGCTACAGTTTTTCTGGTCCCTCCGCTCCCGGGTTGTCTCGTCTTTTTTCGTTTCTGTAATAAGATTTGTTGTGTACGAACAGGATACTTTCTACTCAACTTCACAATACAACACCAGTTTTCATTAATTGCAGAAGCTAACATCATCTACCAAACAACATCTGAACGTTTATTGAAAGAAATGCATGATTCAAAATTAAAAAAAAAGTTTTTTCATCGACTTATTTACTTCAGGCAACTTTCTAAATGTAAAACAGCGACAAGATTCTATAAACAATCACAAGTTTGCCATCCTACCATTTCTACTTCTGCTCTGATTTTCTCTGCGTACTTGATGCGATGCTCCAGCGTTTCTCTGCCGTCTGAATCTTCACAGCGGTCCAGCGCCGCTCGGTACAGGCCTGCTGCTTTGGTGAAGACTGTCTCGTCCTTCCCAATCTTTCCCGTCTCCAGGTACAGGTCTCCAAGGCTCTTCAAAGACTCTACTTGTAGACGCTTATTTCGCTCTACTATTGCTTTAACATAGGCGCGTGTATAACCTTCAATTAAGGTTGCAATACCCTGCTCTTTGGCCTTGACCTTCTCTTCCTCTTCTTGAAGTGTCGCTGCCACCGCCAATGTGATGTTGGCTGAATCCTCAGTCTTTGTGTTTGCATAGATTTCATCGTGTACCAGCTTCGTACATTTCTCTGCATATCTGACTCGACGCTGTATAACCTGTTTCTCTTCCTCACTGGTGTAGTATCTAGATAGCTCTGTGTACAGCGCACAGGCCTTGTTGAAATTCTCTTTCTTATCTTTCTTCATCTTTGCTTTGTGAAGATACAGATCCCCAAGACTTTTCAATGCTTCACATTCCAAAACCTTATTTTCATTGCCGATGGCGTGAACCAACTTCCCTGCGTATTCCCTCTCTACAGCATTCAGATCAGAACCTGGATCTTTGAACCTCTTGTCCAACTCACTCAGTTCTTCCGCCACTGCTGACAGCTTGGTCTTTTCCGTTTCCATGCCTATTTGTTTGTTTGTTTGTTTGTTTGCTCACAATCTGTTCCCCGAGTGCCTACATGTACACAATATTAGTTAACACTGAAGCGCTTGTCCAGTTTACTCAGTTCCGTCGCCACTGCTGATAGCTTGGTCTTTGCCGTTTCCATGCCTGTTTTTTGTTTGTTTGTTTGTTTGCTCACAATCTGTTCCCCGAGTGCCTACATGTACGCAATAGTTAACACGATGCAAAAGACTAACCTGCTAGTTACCACATCGACTGTGTTTTTTGGTAAATCCCCATACGACAGGTTTGACCTTTGACTTCTCGGGTCACCCATTTGGCGTCATGGTTGGTCGGTGACCTAAACAAGGAACAAGGAAAATAAAAGGTCTAATGACATCCAATTACAGTTTATCGCATATTCGTTTTATTGTTATTTTAAAATACAAATGCCAAATGGAAAGCTGGTCTGGAACTACTGATCGACACTAAAAGTGGCTTTTCTAATGACTCACAGTACATTATAATCTTTGACTAATGACATATATGGGAACTCATGCATGAGCAATATTGTTAAATCTGATGCATTTTTTCAATTCCATAAATCCGACTTATACATTATATAATTGCCATACAATCATAATATCTGCAAGAAAATACAGTGAAAGTATGTGTACCATGATATTGGTTCAGCCCATTGACCCCTGACCCGCCATTACTACAACCTGGGATTCCCAAGGCCGGGGTTCTCCTACATGACGTGGCACATTCTAGACTACAAACGGCGTAATTTTTCAAATTCCCCATATTTTCGGCCCCCTTTTCCGTTAAAGCAATTAACTGATAGGACCGTTTATTGAATAGAAAAACCCAGCCAATGGTAATATGTGGGCTTGAGACCCGGAAGTATACTAGTTAACGACATTTACCTGTTATGCCCACCACAGCGTCGATTCCACCAATCCTGCAAGCTTCACTTAAACATTGACAACGTACATAATGTTCTGTGTATGTGTGTCACGCGTATCTAAAACATTTTGTTGTTGCATCTGACGGTGTTAAGTTTGAACTGGATATAATGTTGCCTTCATTGAAGTACTTCGTCACAGTCGTACCCACCAGTGTTTAGTCTACTCAGGACAGCATTCACGGTTCTCTAAACTCCACCAGACCTTTCTACGGGAATACGGATTGTAGAATTTGGAAAAAAAGGAGAGTAAAATTGACCAGGGGAGTCAGTGCGCGGAAGGTAGTTTCTAACTGCGCGGCCAGTCAAACCTACAAGGCTCCTATATAACCAGCGTAGTTAGTCTGGTAGAGTCTACTGTAATTGTTCTCGACACTGACAGGTCTGGAGCAGCAACACAGTGAATATATAGTGATCTAGTTACTATATTATAAGAACCCACCTTTTACCTGGTGTGAAGTAAAAGAGGAAGTACTCAGGTGTGGTCCACCTTTTGTACCTCGCAAGGGCTTCTGGGAAGGGGGGTTTCCACTGGAAGGTTCCATTATTACCAAAAGGTGAGGGGTGTGGGGTGTGTGTGCTCTACACAAACATCATCCATCAACTTGTTTTTTATTCGGTTCTTTTATTCATTTGGTATATATCATTTCGTGCTCATAGGAACAGATAAGTATATATGTTTATATAGGAACAGATAAGTATATATGTTTATACAATTTGATGAATCAAAGCAAATAGGGTAGGTCATGAATTTACAGGCTGTAGCTAAGTCTTAACTCCATACATTGTAGTTTGTCATCTACATACATATTGACTAAAGTGGACAGTTTATTGCTACTCTTAGTCTCCACGACAGAGATTAATATTGCTTTTTCATTTCAGTTTTAGTTGAATACACAGTTATCTTCACTCTTCAGCTTTTCTTCCTTTCATTCTTACTTCACAACTTGTCTAGATAGAGCCTATACTACCACTTTACGTAGGCTGTTGTTACTTGCAAATAAACGTAGCTATTACAATACTCAAACAACTACTGCGCAGCTTTGCTAATTAATAACATAAGCTCTTGTGCTCGATATCCTATAGTTTATATAGTTACATCCATGAAAAATGGAGGTATTGTTTTTGGTGTGTCTGTCTGTCTGTCTGTCTGTCTGTGTGTGTGTCTGTCTGTCTGTCTGTGTGTGTTTCCGCAACTTTGTGGTCAGCATAACTTCAGAACGCCTTTATGGATTATGATGATATTTGGTATGTTGGTAAGTCTTAGGAAGACAAACGTCAAGGTCAAATATGGGCCTCCTGGTGGATGACCTTGGTACTGCAGCAGAACTTCCGGTTTTTGTATCTTTTGTCCTGAACATGCTATGGTCTTGATGTTTTGGTGACAGATTGCTTTTCCTGTCAGGAATAAGTGATGTGAGTTTGGTTCCCCTAGCAGCTTGTTCTGGAACTGCAGGGCACTTTCTGGCGAAATGTTTAAAAGCCAATAAGTCCAGATAGGAACAACATATTTTCATAATTTTTGGTGAGTAGGTAGCTGAGAGAAAGATGTACATGATTAAATGCAAATTATTCAAATGAGGACTTTATTTGCATAATTAATGAGGAAATTCTATGATTACAGTGTTTTACATTATACTACTTTCATACATGTAATGTATGTAACCTATGGCAGGCGGCACATCAACAGATAAGAATGATGCCAATGATGAGCTAATTTGCATAATTTATGAAAAAAAGTTATGATTTCTTAATGGTGAATAATGGGAATGTCATACTTGGGACATCTGTAAGTTAATCAAAAGTTAACATACATCACGATGCATATGTCATGTTAATGCGGAGGTAATTTGTATAAGCAAAGAGGAAATTTACATTTACATATCAAGCCCATATTTCATGGAGGTATGAAATGTCGGAATTCTTGTTTAACATTGGAATTGGTTTATTGCAAGTGAACAACTGGCAGCCGAGAGGCTGAATTGTGTGTTCTTGCATACATACATACATACATAAGGGAATATAAGTACAAGTTGCACAATGCTATTATCTAAAACCATCACCAACACATTTAATTGTTGACTTATTATGGATGGTTTATGGATCTTTAATCATATGTACATATATATATATATATATATATATACATATATACATATACACATACACACATACACATATTTATATCATACCCGGGCCGCAATAACGTTCGATAACGGGTTCCGGACCGGGCCGTACTTTACGGTACGGCCCGGTCTGGAACCCGTTATCGAACGCTTCCATGTCTTCCATAAAACGATTCGAACGCGTTTCGCCCTAACCGCGTGTGCCCCTTTCGAAAATTCGAATACAGAATCCGGACGTTGGAACTGATGTTGTTGCATTTTAGGGTTTAGGGGCACCAACTTTTGGCTCATCTTGCATTGAAAGGCGCGTTTTCTTGGGTGGGTATGATATAAATAAAATACAACACGGTGTATTCCGCATCGCCCTCGGTCCCGGCCCTCCCGCGAGTCGGATCGCCCTCCGGCCTGCGGCCTCGGGCGATCCGACCCGCGGTCGGGCCGATACCTCGGGCGATACGGAATACCCCGTGTTGT